AAGTCTAAGTAGCTCAGGCTTGGCCAAACAAGGGTACGAGGCGGGTCTCGCGATCCGTGCGTGATTTATAGAGCGAAAAAAAAATTCCAAAGTTGGTCTCGCAGAGCTTGTGAGACCCGTCGCGAGCGTCGCGGCGGGGGTCACGCAACTGTTGTGTGAGCCGTCTGAAGTGAGTTAAAACAGTTGTTCCTCTGATGACGAAAATCTCAAAAAACATCAGTGTGCGCGGGTTTGAGCTGTGTTCTGAACGTACGTCATTTCTGCATTTTTTAATATATTTTTTTCCGGAGCACTTCTCATATGGAAACATACCCTCTCACATCTAGGCCTAGATATCTACAGAAAAGTAAAGGCGGGAGCTTGGATTTTCTGATCAGGGAAAAAAAGAAAATTGAAAAAAAATGAAGGTCTAGGTCTAGACCTACCCATCCAGAGTACATCCAGTTTCACACAGCCCGCATCATGTTCCCACCCACCCCCTCTCATCCCTACCGTAGGCTAACCCTCAAACATCCTCTTGGTTTTGAGACCCATATTAGGAGGCACACTTGTTCTAGCAAGACAATGTGTTAGGAATTGAGGATGGGCCTTGTGTTTCGTATGAGATGGAGAGAAACGAGAAAAATTCTTCGCTTTTGGGACCGCTAATTGCTTTCATTTGGTTATCGCGACCTCGTTGAAAGCGACTTCGGTCTGTTTGCAACCTTGTTGGAGCTGACGTACATTTACAAAGCGATATAGAGGAAAAAAATCGGGGATTAAGGATGGACTCATTGGAGCCGACTTCTCGTTGAATGTGACCTCGTTCAATGCGACACCCACTGTTTAAGACCTACATCTCACTTTCTTCTTCTTCTTCTTCTGCCCTATCGCATCACACTTGAGTCAGGTATCTGTCATTCTGGACTGTCCTCAGTTCTTCTGTACACCTTCTCTTCTTGTGTCAATTGGGTAAGCCACGTTTCTTTACATCTCACAGTGCTGGTGATTCTTAACGTACATGATTGTCTTATATGCCTTGCTGCCTACCAGTATGTAAAGAAAACATGTTATGTTAGTTTTTAAGGGTCTGAGAACGAAAGTACATTTTTGTGTTGGGAGGATATTTTAATCGTCGAGTATCTCAGTCTGTCCTCCGGAATGTTGTATCCCTCTCAGCCCCGGTTGGCCCTGACAGACAGGGTCAGCAGCCAGCCTCAGAAATGTTACTGGGTGGTTGGTTGGTGCTCCGGTGTGGTTTGGTCCTTCTTTGCCATCAAACATCTGTCGTCCTTATCTCCACTCCTTCTTTTTTTGTGTTTGTTTCTCTCTTGTAACACATTATCCATTCTTCGGCACTTATATGACCTTATTGTGTTACAAGTGCCGTAAAACCCTTACTGAAAGTAAAAAAGAACATTACCAAAAAAAAACAACAACAACGAAACCTCCGCACATTTGTTTCCCCCAGGAGAACCTACAGAAGTTGATGGAGCTACAGAGAGATCTGCTGGGCCTGGAGAATTTGGTGCACATCGACCGGGTGAGTTCTGGAGGCCAGCAGTTATTGTGGTGTTTGTTGCGCTAAATATCGCCGCCTTTGGACTATTTTGTTCAAAGTGCCTCTTTACAGTAATTACTGAAGTACACTTTGGACAAAATAGTTCTGAGGACACGAGATTTCGCCCAGTGATGATTATTTTTAGTTCCATGAAATTTGTTTTATAAAATATTTGTCCCCAGTGTGATGATTATTGTCCAACTCAATTTCCAGTGAAATATGGCCTACAATAATAATGATAATTATGGGTGTCATTATACAGTTGACTTTCAGTTTGTGAATCCTCAGTGTTTTACTGCAGAGATCTCGTGAAAACAAGTACACTTGTTTATCAATAGAAACAGTGCATGAGTTAACATTCTCTCCCAAACTATCCCTATCTGCTCCCTCTCTCCGTCTTTCTCTCATCTCTCCTTTCCCTCCCTTCGTTCCTTTCCCCTCTACCTATCTCTCCCTCCCTTCTGCTCTCTCCTTCCCTCCCCCTTCTCTCTCTTTCTCTCTCTATCTCTCTCTCTCTTTCCTTCATTCCTTCCTCTTGATGCACACAAGCACTTACCCTACACACACACACTCTCACACACACAAGCACACACAAACTTCAACTATTCGTGCATTCCCCAGGATTTCATCAGAGAAGGCTGTCTACAGAAGTTCTCTAGGAAAGGTTACCAGCAACGAATGTTCTTTTTGGTGAGTTCTTGGCCCTATCTCCTATTCACTCTAGTGGGGACAATTGTTTGTTATAGTGTCGCTTTATAATGAATAAATGGTCGCTTTTAAAGACAAGCGGGCTAACCCAGATTTTGGGGGTTTACCTGAAAATTTTCCT